ATGGCATGCAGGTTGAAAAGAGTTGAGTCAAAGAGACACAGAGACATGTGGAGTGCAATTCAAAAGAACATGGTGCCCGAGAGGCAAACAGGATCCTTTCTAAGAAACCCTGGAATATGTTCTCAACTTCCACAGCTCATTTCCATAATGTAGGCTCTCTTTCAGTTGCCCATAAATATTCCTTTTGTAACCTGAAAGCTGTTTTTATTTAAATGCTTTAGCATAGATAGTTCTATTTTCTATAATTAGAATGGACCTGAAACATTTTTTTTAAATGAAAAGAGCAATTTGGTTTAAACCAGAGAGGTAGGGATAGGGAAGGGGGGAAAAAAGAAGGAGAAAGTGAAGTTAGACATGTAGGGAGGTGGGAAGATCAGAAAAAAAAAATCTGGGGGACAGGAAATATGATCAAAACATAGTGTATGAAAAATTAAATAAAAAATAGATAAAAATATGTGTTAGTGATGTGAAAAAAAAATCTCCAAATATAATAAAACACAATTTAGAGTTTAAAAAAAATGCCTTACAGGACCCATGCAGGAATAGATGCCCATTTAATCTTCCATTTCTGTTCCTGGTCTAAAAAGTTGATGACTAGCTACAGATTAACCCAGACATATGCACAGAATTTGGCAGGGTTGGAACATCTTATCACCAAGTTTGCACCATGATTCTGTGCTTGAGGGAAATCTCAATTAAAACAGTTCTTAACTGCATTAACCTTGCTGATCTCAGGTGTTTATTTTTCCATTTTGTGTAGTCTATGCTATTTTGTCAATGTGACCTTAATCATCTCCAGGCTTGTCAGGTGCTGTTGAATACAGTGTTCTTAATGGTTTAGGGCCCAAGGGCTCCAAGGTGCATGCTTTCTTGATTGGGTAAACAGAACCACATTAGAAATTCTTTTTCTGATTTGTTAGCTTATTTGGGGGAGACATAATTAGTTTTTTTTTTAAACTAATTCAACTTCAAATAACTTGTTTTTCACAATGAAATATACTTCCTTTTTTCTTTGTTATTATTATTTATTACAATTTATTTACTTTGTATCCCAGTTGTCGCCCTCTCCCTCATCTTCTCCCAGTCCCACCCTGCCTCCTTCTCCCTTCCCCCACCCATGTCCTTTTCTCCTAGTCCACTGATAGGGAAGGACCGCCTCCCCTTCTATTTGACCCTATCCTATCAGGTCTCATCAGGACCTAGTAAGGTCACCTCACCAGGAGGAAGTGATTGAAGATCATGTAACTGAGTTCATGTCAGAGACTGCTCCTGCTCCCTTTACTAGGAAACCTCCATGGAGACTCCATGAGCTGTTCATGGGCTACATCTGAGCAGGGGTCCTTTTTATGCATGTTCCTTGGTTGATTCATGAGTCTCTCTTCAAGGCCCCCTGGGCCCAGATTTTTTGGCTCTGTTGGTCTTCTTCTGGAGCTCCTGTCCCTTCCAGGTCTTTCTATCTCCCCCTTCTGCCATAAGATTCCCTGCACCCTGCCCAAAGTTTGGCTTTGAGTCTCAGCATCTGCTTCAATACCCTATTGGGTAGAATCTTTCAGAGGCCCTCTGTGGTAAGCTCCTGTCCTGTTCCCTCTCTTCTTCAGAAAGGCAAATAGGATAGACATCAGAAGTAAAAGATAATTCTCAATTTTCCATCATCAAGGAGATGCTTATTCTTTAGTCTGTAATCTTAATTACTGCTTCTTTTTACATATGAATATTGTGATTGTTCATTAGCATTCTAGCCCAAATCATTCTTTGCTCTGTCAAAAGCAAAATTTCTGTCAAGGACTTACCATGTTGCCTCTCAAAAAGGTAAGATTTCTGCTATGCTGCTCTGTAGTAGGGAGACCGTAGTCGACAATCCTTTACCCCGTATTTTTAAAATCTATAGGATTTTGAACATTATCACCATAATAAATCATAAATGTTTGAAGACATAAATGTGCTTAAAGTGAAACATTATGCAAAATGTGCAGGTATTAAAACATCATGACACTCTACTAAAATATGTATGATTTTGTGTTTTTACATATCAGTAAAATAAATTTAAATTTTCTCATTGTACACAAAAAATCTCATTGAGGTAAATATAGACAATTATATGTGCATGTACATTAACATATTTGTACATATATACAAACACATTCACTTATTTGTATACATATACACTTATTTTTTTAAATATTGGTTATATATTTTAATACTTATCCTGCCACCTTTACAAGTGAAGCAATGGATATGTTTGCTACTGTTTTCTTATAACATACATCTGTCAACTCTGAGAATATTTAAAATGAAGGCAGTGATGTGTCCTTCTAATAGAGAATGGATTATGCTGTAATGTTCTATTCCAAGTGTGAACCAAAATCACTGCCACCTGATTTTAAAGGATCAGTATTTATAACAGAATTTTATCTTATTATGAGTTCTTCAATAATTTTCTTTGGAAATATAAAGCAAGTATGAAAACCAACCAACCAACATCCTAGGAAGAGGAAAACAGATGTCCCCTAAATTCTGGGAAGAATTCAAGGTGGCAAGTGAGAACATATACGGTAAATTATCCTGAAGACCTTTTTTCGTTGTAAATCTGACAAAGATAATCAGTGACCTCCACTTCTGCAGACACCAGTTAGAGCTAGTGATTTATCTGAAAAGAGCCAAAGATAAAGAGAAAGTGAAAGGATTGTCTACAAGGTGAAAGATAACTTAAAAGTTTGATCATGAAATGCTTCTACATGCTGTAACATACCTTACAGTGTATTAAGATTGTAAGAAATGTGGATTCATGCATGGAGCCATATAACTAAAAAATGCCATGCTATTAGCTTTGTTCTATGTATATTCTTCCACTTGAGTTGCCTGTGAAAGGCACTCATTTGGTACTGTCAAGCGAAGAATTTTTAATAGACAAAGTCTCTGTGAACTTTAGGTATTGATAAAAATAATCTGGATAGTTATTTCGATATATCCCCATTTCATGTGGATTACATTTGGCTATAGAATCCTCATGTGTTGAGTTTAAAGGTACTTCTCCAACATGGCTCAAAATGTTATAAAGTAGAAGAGAGTAATTACATCATGTAACACTCTAAACTCAGAAAAAGTTTGTATTCTAAAACCTGCATAAGCATGAAAGTTTGGGTTGAGGAATTGGGGATCTATTAAGTTAATAATACAATCACCATTCATATGTTCCCAATGGTGCACCTATAAATGGGAAAATGGCAGGCTAACGAAGTTATCCAAAACCAAAATAACGGCTGACCAGTTGGCATTGGATAACCAGTTTGGACACTCGTCCTGGGGAAGACTGTTTCTCCTGCTTTCAGCATTTTTAGTTTCCTGTGGCTCATTGTCTACAGTTGGTGACCCGTGAGTTCCCCCCTCCTTTTGTGTTATCATGTCTACTGATGTCATTCTTGTTCAGGTCTTGTTTAGGCCATCATGTTATTGAGAGTCTATAAATGTTCCTAGGAGACACAATATTACAGCAGATTTTCTCGTCCTCCAGCTCATACAATTTCCTGCCCTCTTTTTCTGCAATGTTCTCTGAGCCTTAGGTATAGGAGTTGCATACATAACATTACATGAATTAGTTTTTTATCTTTGTAACAGTGGTATAAAAATAGGGGCCAGAAGCAATGAATCTGAGAGTAGATATACATAGAAGAATTGGAAGTAAAAAACAGAATAGCATAAATGATATACTAATATTTTAATTTCAAAAAACAAGTGATACACAAAAGATTACATTAGACATAACAGGTTTAGTTTATAGTGTGTCCTGCACAGATGGTACATATAACAGAAGGTCCACCACAGTCAATAGTAGAAGACTGTAAACTTGTACAGACTCCACGCCATCAACAGTCTACTGTTCTGTGATATTTAAAGTGGTATCCTTCAATAATGTCATTGTTATTTTGTCATGTAAAATGTTAAAGCTGTATAATAATGTGCACTTTACTCAAAAATTAGTCCATAACCATAGAAAGCAATCTGAAATATATTCGCCAAAATATTAATGGTGGTTGTTTATGTATGGCAAGACTGCAGATAATTCTAATTTTTTCTAAGAAATTTGCTTTGTCCATAGCAATATATGTTAGTACAATAATAATAACACTATCAAATGTGTCTTAATATACTATAAGCATGCAAACAAATAAATTAGCTTTCAAATTTTATATATATAATTAATGTTTAACAAGGAAAATTAAGTTTTATTTATATTTTTCAGATTTTCTTATAAAGCCTCTGTGTATATGAAAATCAGTATTAGACAGTAAAGCCTTTGTTTTCTAACAGCTTGTTTTTTACCTGTAGTAAGATTTATGTTACCAATATTCTCAATTTGAGTGTAGTAAAATTAAGCTTAGAGACTTAGAAACATGCTCAATAAAGGCACAATGATAATTTTAGATTAAAAAAAAAACAACTATACCTAGCAAGCAATCCTGGCAACATCAAATTGTGACCCACATGGTGGTGATGTCATGGCGTGCCTCTCACCATCTCAGTGGTGGGGTATCAATTGAGCATGTGTACCATTTTTGTTTCAGTCAACAGAAACAATTTGCCATCCTCAGAAATATATTTTCAAAATATGGTCATTATCCCAAAATGTTCCTTTCACAACACAAATAAATATGAGAGCAGCCTGCACTCTCGGGAAAGTGGTTTGCCTTCTGTATTGCACTAGACGGCGGAAACGTGATGAGGTGCCAGCCTACTGCTTGGCAGGAACAAAACACCAAACCCAGCAGGGAGTCTACAGGAAAGTGAGCTGTGGTTTTAACTGCCAGTTTTCCAGCCAGTGCTTCTTATAGCTCCCACAGTGTGTCTGAAATTTGGGCAAACGCTGACAGCTTTATTCGTTTTATTCTGCTTGGAGGACCATTTCTTTAATCTATGAACAATTAAGTTATATTAATTTTATTAGAAAAAAATTGTACTTTCTGTTCTTTACTTACTGAAAGAAATAACTTTTTATTTTTCAGAGCTTCCATATGGCTGGGAAAAAATCGATGATCCTATATATGGCACTTACTATGTTGAGTAAGTCTCTAAGCGTGATATTAACTTGTTACTAACGTTTTGTGAAATTGTGTTAAAATTTTATTTATTGAGTGTGTGTGGCTAACAGCCCCTTTAATTCCCTCTCATCTAATTCTGAAATGTCCACAAAGAATCTAGAGGCATGGCTGGCTGTTTCTTGATTCTTTGCAGCTGGCTCATGTGTCATTCCTCTTCTTTGACTCATGATTCTGAAACACCGATTGGAAAACTATGTTCCACACAGTTCTCTGAATGAGTAATTAAAGATACTTAAGTGAATGCTTTTCATTTTGAAGTCAAACTGTTGGGAGCTGGCTGCGTGTGCAAAAGAGACACTCTATTATACCAGATTCCAAATTCAATTAACTGAATCAGCCATGCCTTCCCACTAAAGCATAAGATAAAATTTTGATGCCTTCTCCTCTGTAGAACCACATGATTTAGCTGCAGTGTCCTTTCCATACACTGGACTTTTATGTTACCCATTGCTAGCTGCATTGCATTAACATATCTCATCAGAATACAAGCTATCTCTGTCTATACATTGTTTAACTCAGACTAGAGATCTACTAATGATTAACTAACTACACATATATTTTTCCTTAAGAAAAGAGAATGGCAGTCATAAAAGTCTAAAATTAATTATGTAATTTGCATTCCAGAACTCTCTTCTGATAGAGAAAGCCTAACTCTTATCTATCCTGTGGTGCTCCTAATGTTATTTGGGTGAGGCACAAAGCCTGCCTTTGTACTTAAACACTGCCCACGAAATGCAGGGATTGCAAAGCCAAAGGCTTTCACACTGTCTGAGAAGACTGAACTCCTTTTCTTCTCATCCTGTCCGGGATGGTCAACGGTCGTAGATCAATGGCTCGTCTACTAGCCTGCCTTGCAATAGTATTCCAGCAGTTCCTGGCTTTTGTTAGGGGTCAGGCCCTGCTTGGCACTGCAGATGCTCAGGTGAACAGGACCTATGCACCCCACTGTCCCTGAGCCTCTCCTGTGTGAGCACTTGTCTCAATTACTTTGACACCGTCCCCACCCCAGGTTCATTGGGAGAAGCCCCAAGTTTGGCTTCCACATTTACGGTCAAGGCGAATTCATCTCTTTCACTACAAGCAATCTTGTGACACAGTGTTTACTCTCTAACATGTGGACGTACAATAACTATAAAAAGATAAATATGTAGAGTCATGCCTGGTTGCAAGGAGAGAGGGAGGAGCTCTGTAAAATCGAGGCCATGGAAAAGAGCAAAACTTGAGCAACTGGAGAGAACTTAAGCTACTCTGACTCACTCTGACTGACGTGTGTGTGACCACGCAGTCACTTGAAACCTAGAACTGCAAGACTCCTTTTTCTGACCTAATTGGACACACATGATTGAACGTTGGAAATTAGTTTCAAAGCACATGAAGAGAGATATGAAGAAATAATCTGAAGAGTCAGAAGGAGAGGGAGAATATCATGGGTCAATACTTGGAAGGGTTCTGGGTCCCATTAAACTGATAATCAATGAAAATACGTGTTTTAATAGCAATAAAGATTTACCCTTGATAACTGTAACAGCGAGTTTGCTAGGTCCTTGCTTGAATGCTTGCTCGTATTTGTTTGCCGTACTCAGGATCAGATCTCAGGTACTCTACCCCTGAGCTCCATGCTGGACCCTCCTAAATCGTCTTAGTTCACTTGATCAGACGACAGCATGCCTCAGCATGTGCCCGTCTGGAGTCTAAAGTGCTTCCATAGAAGGACACAGGACTGAGGTGTGTGACATGCCGTATCTCTGTTTTAATACATTGCCTGTGGAGCCAATGAACAACTCCACCGCACCCCCAGTGCCAGTGTTGGAAAATCCATAAAGATCCAGGTGACAAGTATTTGGGAATCCACACAGCCTCACCTTTTCCTGTATACAGGCAACTGCTGACGCCACTTACATGCGTGAGGACTCTACCCCAAGTGTTGTTTATAAAAGCAAGACAGTGGGCCAGTGCCAGTCTTCCAGCCCCAGTTTGTTGGTCCCTACCTCTTTCCAACTCTTCATATCTCACCTCATGTCCTTTGAGACTAATTTCCAGTGTTCAAGCACATTTGTCTAATTAGGTCAGAAAAACTTGTCTCGAAATTTCAAGTGATTGGGCGGTCACACGCACTTGTCAGAGTGAGTCAAAGTAGCGCAAGCTCCCTCCAGTTGCTTGAGCTCTGCTTTTCCCCCATGGCCTCATTATTACAGAACTCCAGATAGCATACCAATGTCAGTTTCTAGATTTGTGACTATGTCAGGCAGGCAGAAAACTGAGACAAATAAGCATATAATCCAAACATACAGATAACATTAGGCGGGACATTATCCAAATATTTCTCAGAAAAATATTTTCTGAAAAACTCAACAACATATTTAAATACCTCACGTGATTATATATGTGTGTATGTGTGTGTATATGTATGTATGTATGTATATAGCATGTGTGTGTATGTGTGTGCGCATGCATGTTTGTGTATGTACAGGTACTCATGCTTCCTGGTGTAAGAAATGTCTTCCTTCACAATATGGGAATATGTTTATTTACATGACTTTTCAACTATGTATTATTCCCACTATGCTGCCATTGGCACAGGTTTATATTGGCTTTCAAAGTAGTTCTACTCATGAAATTTCTCAAACAGATACACACAGAGGCCATGTGGCACTTTGGATCCATAGACTGTAATTGTCGGGGGGGGGGGAGGGAAGGAGTAAGCTACCTTCTTATAGTATTTTCTACAGAAAAGTAATACATTTGTAATCTAAGTTAAATTATCAAATTTTCTAGTGTCGATGTAAAAAGTACAAAACTCCATTTTGAGATTCTGCTCAATGGTAGAGCGCTTGCCCAGCATGTTCTGTACCAACACATACACATACACACTCCTTATGTTAATATACAATTCACAATTACAGTGATAGTATTAATGTAAACATCTTAAGAAATCACATTTAAAATGCTTAAGATTTCGCTAACTTTAAAAAGCAAAGTTATCAACCTCCCAACCCTGAAAAGCTGTGTGCAAATAACATTAGGCAGACTGAGCTGGTTATATTTAGGAAAATACATATATGCATGCAGAAAGTAAGTGAAGTAAGAGGCTATTAATTTGAAGGAGAGTTTGGAGGGGTATATGGGAGGGTTTGGGGTAGGGAGGAAAAAAATAAGGAGATATATTGCAATTATAATCTCAAAAGTAAAATTAAGGAAAACAAGCTTATCTTTGTAAATCCAAGGAAATATTGGCAGAGGTCTTACTTTCCATGGCTAATCACACATTATGCATCTACAAGCACCGGTTATAAAATAATGAAAAGCATCAGCCTTGTCCAGTTGTTAAAGAAAAAGCGCACAGCCTACGTTCATAAACACAGAGGGCCGGGCACCTTAGCAGTCAGCCCAGCTGCTCTTCATTTAGCTAACAAAGCAAGACAGAAGCTGCAGAGCGGGCTCCGCCCCTCAGCCAGGACAGGAAAGTTAAAACCAGTCCTGTGCTTCCAGCCCAGCGGCCATCCGCACATTTTTCTCACACACAAATGTGGCCAGGCAAATAGCAATTCCAGTGACCAATAGCAAAGGAGGCTTAGCACACAGCTTTTGACCTCTGTAACTTACCTAGTATGTTACGATTTTTGTGCCAGATAAGTTATAATATATATCCAAGATCCAGAAGGAAGAACCCCTCAGCAGCAGCGTGGTTATCATCCCATCAAAAGAATTACCATCTGTTTCATGTTCACTGTGTGCCATGAACTGGGTTCTTCAAAGACCCCTACCATATTTACCAGCCTCTGCAGTGATGGGAAAGCAAATGGCCTCCAGTTTACAGTTAGGGAAACCCTCACCAAAGAAGCTGAGTAACTCCCTAGGGACCACACAGCACCGAACATGGGCTAAAATGTGGGCGGAGACAGTTTGGCTGTAGAGCCCAGACCCCAAATTCATGCTAACAATGGCTCTCCTACATTTCATGTGTACTACCCATAATGTTCCAGACTAGTCTTGGAGCCTCCACACTAGGAACAATGAGGGTTTTCAAGCACATGATGGCTTCCCTCTAGATCTAGAACAACTCCACAGCAAGATGTTCAAGGCTAGGAGGCCATGCCACCTACCCAGCCCCACGAAACGAGCTCTTAACACAGGCATTATGGGCCACCAGGTTCATGCGTGCTACTGCGAAGCCTCCCCCCGCCCCCCAACAACGTGGCAACAGGGAACAAGACCCGAAACAAAAGATAAAGGCCGTCAGGGAACTTGGGGGCACTTGTTTGCCGCATGTAGAACTGTATTTTAAGTACAGTGGGGCCCCACTGTACTCAACATCTCTCGTGGCATCTGCAAGTCAGGCAACTTAGACTGAGCTCTATTCTAAATGCCAGCCAAAAGAAGCAAGGCCAGTTTCCCTGACAGACACCGAATCCGCGCTAGCGCCGCGCTTAGCCATGTATTAAGAAATCCTGAAGCTGCTAACTAGAAATGTAACTGTCACCGTTCATGGGGGGGGGGGGGGGGGATTAATGCAAAAAGTGCAAACTGTAGCTCCGAACAGCTGGGACTTTTGTACAAATGTAGATTTCTCTCCTCTTTTGTGAAATCGTGTCTGCTGGGTACATTCTGGTTTTAATGGCAGTTACACAATTTGCTTAAGTAGCTTATCCAGAAGACACAGTTTCCCGGGATGGCTTTTCAGCAAGCTGCCTCCGCTGGCACAGGAAGAGAAGCCAGCCATAGAATAGCATTTAAAATCATAGCGGGGACTGACAGATGTGATTTTCATATGAAGGTCTTAAAAGTCTTTTCACATGATGTCACACATCTGCTGCTTTCAGGCATTACTTGGGCACCGTTCCCGAAAGGGCCGCCTGATAACACTGAGCATTAAGGGAAAACCGCGACCACTGCCTGGTTCATGATGAGCAGCTGTCAAGATGTAGGAACTGGGGAAGCGCCTTCAGGGTATTTGATAGAAAA